AAAATAATGCGAGTGCTGACGAGCGCGATAACAATGAAATTATCACTAGAATTAGCGCCATTAATGTTACGCTCTAATTGTAATGCACAAAGAAACGTATCAGTTTATTGTGTCGCAGAATACTACCTATAAAATAGTATGCAGCAAAAATATATTAGTTAATTTCCTTTCTATTTAGTGATATATCGGTCAATATGAGATAGACTGCAAGTAAAATAATTTATTTGCAGTAATACATTAATTTTGTTGATATTAATAATATTAACGATTGAAAATTTTATATATTTGTTGCAACATTATCGTAGAAATTCTGAACGTAATAAAAGGAAGACGTATAATATATCTCTGTCAATCATTTCTAAATAATATAATTTTTTGAAAATATTTTTAGGATTATTCAAAATATATATGTTTCTTTTAAATTGAAAATATGAGACTTTACTTTTGTAAAACTAAGCATTATAGAGGAAAAACTAATTCCGACGGATATCGAAAGGCATGAATTGTATAAGTATCGTACTTATACAGTCGTATTAGTTGTATTATAATATCCGGTAGCGATAAATAGGCAGAAGAAGGAATGATAGAAAGGCGAGAGCGTGGCACAGAACCGCGAAACGCAATCCAAACTTAAGCAAAACGATTTGGCCGAGACGACGGATTTTAATCGCGTTTCAAGCGAGAATAAACGAGCTAACCTCGGCGATCTCTCGCGTGCGCCGACCGATGGGGGGCAACACACCGCGGCACGACGAGGTTCAACGACCGTAAATTTTGTTTACGAAAATCCGTTCGTGGTGAGAAAAGGCCCTGAGAGCCGGCGCTGACGGGCCCGATAAGTGGGCGGCCCATTCGCTTCTCGGCGATACATTAACATCTGAATCGATACATTTTGCTGTCAAAAAGCTGTCTCATTATTGTACCGATAGCGAAGATTTGCTAAATCCCGTTGTTTCGTTTCGCATAATCGTAAAATGGTCATAAAAGTAGCAATTGCAAATAAAAAGGAACTTTCTCTCGCACTAAGCGTGTATTCGAAGCTTTTGAGGAAATTGCCAGTAGCGACAACAATAGATAAAATCAATGATAAATTAAACAATTTCTTTTATTATAATTTTGATTGATATTAATTTATTTTATCGAAATGTATAACATGTAGTTTATCTCAAGTGCTACTTGCCCAAATGTTCTAAGGAGGACCTGAATTACTACAATCACGTTTTCTCTTTGTTGCCGCGAATGAAAGAGATTGATAAGGCACACGAGATTCTTATCCAAGATCGCGCGAAATTTATATCGAAAGCAGGCGAAAGCGAAAGATACCTGAAGCGTTTTAATTAGAACGCGATGCAACACACGCTCGTATTTCCATGCGGATATGATAGTAAAGATATTACACTTGATAACTTCATCTCTCGACGTTACTTGACTTTTACTTCGCACTTCTATATGCATTCCTTCCAATGTAACCATAAAAGTAACGATAAACCGCGAAGGTTTCTAATACGCAAGCTATTCTTTTTTTATAATACTAACACGAGAGAGAGAGAGAGAGAAAAAAAGATAAGTTTCTTGCTTGATAGTCATATGCAAGTAAAAAACTGTGCAGTTTATTATTTCAAGGATAATATTTTATGCTATTTTACATTTTCATGTGGAAAGAGATATTTATCAAATAAACATTATATATCATATTAGGTTATATAATGTTATATTACGTTAACGTGTCAAACGAAACTGTGTAGAATGTAAAACTCGATAATGCAATTAGTTCTCTCATAAATAAATCACGATTTTCGTATCGCGTGCAATGATACTAGTTCCATCTCCGAGTTCAGTGTGTTAATTCGTTTGCATCAACAAGTGGAATAAACTATATATGTATATAGCAATGTTACAGAATATGAGGTAATCCGCGAACATTACGGTCAAACTACGCGATAAAAATTTTCGGTGATATAATAATTTAACGATACGAAAGTGATACCATTAAAAGTGATACCAAAATTAAATTCACAGTGCAGAAGTTTATGCTACATCATTGCAAAGTACCTAAACTGAGTATCTATTCCATTCCGTAAAATATAAAATTAATTCAAGTCGTAAACGTTACATTACGAGAGTAACGCTTTCATCGTAAATCTTACTAAAATCAATCGAACGCGTGTAAATTTTAGCGAATCCTTCCGACACGCGCGACACTGGCTTTACGGAACTTTCTATTTGCCTTCTCGGCCGAGAGCTAATAAACGGCGGCCTCGACGTACACTCGCACGTCGATCAGAGTGATGTCCGTTATCGGTTATCGGCCGCGGCCCTGGTAATACGCGAGCGGGCGAACGTACCGATATCGATTGCATTTTTCGAATCGCGCGGAACGCGGTGATTATTCAATCTCTCGAGTGACACACGTCGTTGCGCGAGCAGCGCCTCGCTGTCTGCGATGCCTACCGGGGTCTCCTCCCTCCCCGAGTGCTAACTACAGCGGCTCTCAATGGCGAGATTCTCAGAGAGTGCAGCCTCACAGCGCGCATATAGAAATCTGGCCGCTTAGCAACAACGAAACGATTGCATTGCGAGAAGGCGAAGGAGCGAGCGAGCGGACGAGCGCCGCTCGCCAACCGCACGATAGATGCACCAGTGAACGACCGGCCGGTTGAGCAATACTGGTTGGACAATCGATTCTTTTGCTAAACCAAGCTGAATCAGTTATTAGTCATTCGTTACAGGAGTAAAATATTACAAGTGGTACTTGTTTCTCCTAAATGTCTCGCTTAGCTGCATACGTAATTTTCGTATTAATGATAAAACATGAACTTGTGTATCTTTTTAAGACATTCTGAGGATTAAAAAAATTTTTTTTTTTGTATTCAATCAACGCTTTTAATATTTTCTAGAAAATATAAAAAATATTCAGTGACATTGATATATAACTGGTTATGTTTTATCGCCATTCCATTTCAAATGTGAATATGCGCATGACAAAAATCCGTCTTTGACATTTGTAAAGTAAAATCCTTTTTAAAAAGAGCGAGTCAATTATTATTGTCGTCCATTCAACTTTCACAAAGATGAATTTCACAAAAAAGATGTAATATTAAAAGTCGATAATGAGAGAAGAGCTGAATATGATGAAATCGTCTTTGAATGACCAATGTAAACGATCGTTTTGATTTATGATTGCAATGGCTAGTAGCTTCTCTTAAGAATTAGACATTCTAAAGTATATATTAGAAATTTAATTTACTTTCTATTTTCCTAGATTATTAAAATACGCTTTTTAAATATTCATTTACCTATTAACTGCATGCATCGCGTTTATATCGGTTTATATTGGCATGTGTCAAACTATCCATGCGAGTTTTCACGTTTTGTAATAATTTTATGTGGTGTAATAGATACTATCGTATATGTTTAAAACTTTTTTACTATTTTATTACGACGTCAACAGGTTTCTTTATCATTTTATTGAATCATTTATTATTAAGATTGCCTTCTATCTTTCTTGTCTGGTTACGTTCAATTAAAAATATATCGTAATGGGTTGTCTTTATCGTCAGATTTTTTAATACTCATATATATATATATATATATATATATATATATATATATGTATTATTAGTAGTATATATAA